AAAAGTCTAATTTTTGAGGCAGAGTTAAAGTATAATTTTTAATTAATTTTATCAGCACCTCTTTGTAATGACAAAAGCCTACTATTTTAATATTTTCGAGTGAGTTTACTAAGAAAGTAGAATTTTCGTAGGCAACTCATTGGTTAAGTGTTTATTTGTGTATACTTTTTAATTAATCAAAATTTCTTTTAAAATATTTCTGTTTAAGAAACATGTCTGGCTTAAAATGTGAATATAGATTATTTTTCTGGAAAAAAAAAGGAAGACATTCATGTTTTTACTGGGGAAATCTACTATGACATTCCTTCCTTTCTATGTAGTACTTAAACTGGAAATCCTTATATTACTCCTGGTTAGTCAAATTTATAATTTAAAATAACTTTTTCTTGCTTTCTGCATTTGTATTCAGTTTCTTCTAATCCCAAAAGACATGTCCTATTAGGCTGAGAGCCACATCATGTTACACAACCTGCATGTTGATTTCAGAATGCATGTCAGGACCTCAGAGAAGAAATAGCAGATGTTTAAGCCACTGGAACAGCAATATACCGAGCAGGTGGGGCTTAAACAGCAGCTTGAACAGTTTGATTAAACTATAGTCAAGTACTAAATTTTTCTCTTGTCTTAAACACATTTTACAAACCATTGTATCTTTAAACCACTTCATCATTTTGAAAGTGGGTTTTATCCCAGTTCAGGCTAAATGTTTTAAGACAATCTATCTTCCAGAGCATCTGCTTTCTTTCCCACCTTATTTCTGTCTTTTGGCAGGCATGATCTTTATTTACCAGAGATGCCCCAAATAAGAGAATGCCTCAGGGAAAGAAGTGGCTTTTTGTTTTTTCTATTTAAAGGGATGAAAGTTAGGGAGAACTTTAGTAAGACTAAACTGGGATGTGAGAGACAGTAGTTATTAACAAGATAGACAAACAATTTAAGTTGCATCTTGCACAGGAAGAAGAGAAGGTGAGTCTGAGTAAATGAATAGTGGAAGGGAATTCACAACACTTGTCTGAAACTGATTCTTGTGATTCGAGGACATTCATATGATGAATATTTTTACTCTTCCTTAGTGTAGTGTTGGAAATGTTGATGGCGTATCAAAAACTCTTAGGAAATAATTTTGTTAGTACAGCTAAAATACACCCTTTCCCCCTTACCATAATTACATGGCAGAGAAAGTTAAGGGGGGAAAAAAAATCTTATTTGGTTTTTAATAAATATTGTGGTTTTATTTCTATACTATCCTTAAAATGAAACAAAACATTACTTTGTATTACAAGTAGGTATATAATGAGGTTCTCATTGACATATTGGCAAAATCTGCATTATTTGGGTACATGATCACATCCATAAATGAAGGGCTTAATTTTAGGAAATTCAATGATGGAATATTTTAAAACTATAACCAAAGCATTAATTTATTTTCCATCTTTTAAAATAACCAAATAGAGCTAATGTGTGCAATCAAGAGAGAAGTAGCAGATAATTATAATCCATGTGCATTATTTAATGTCCATCAGTTGAATAAAATGCCACTTAAAAGCAAGCAGGAAGACTATTTAGAGACATTTCTTTTAATATTTTATTTTGTTTTTTTAATGGAGAATTTTTATTTTATCAAAATAGTTTACTTCAGGATTTGTATTATAGAAATAGCATCTTACAACTTTCTCAGCACACATATCATTATCCAGTATCTGTTTACAAAACTAGCATACTTGGTTGGTCATGAAGTATAAGCTTAAGCATGCTGCTGGAATGCATACTCTTTCTTTATACCACACTTTATAAAATAGTAACTTAAATACATTTTATTGTAGTGTAAGTTATACATAATAAAACATTCAATTTAGGTGTATAATTCTATTAGGTCTGACAAATGTGTGTGTGTATGTATATATATCACACAAATGTATAGTGTGCAAACACAATCAAGATAGAGATTTTTCCTTCTCACCACTCTTAAATATTTTTGCAAGTTCCTTTGCTATTTGTGTCATTAACTCACCCTGGTAAATCACTCACTTCTTTTCCATCATTAGTGTAGTCTGGATATTATAGGTTTTGTGTGATAATATCATATGCACTCATTTGTGTCTGACTTAGTTCACTCAACATAATGTTTTTGAGATACGTGCTGTTAAATGGTTCACTATTTTGTTCTTTTTAAAAAACAAGTCTTTTCAATGTTTCTCTTCTTCTTGATAGATAACTGCTGTTTGTAGTCTTTTGGCTACTAAAAATCAGAATTCCAGGAACATCTGTATAGAAATCTTTGTGTGAGCATATATTTTCATTCCCCTGGTAAATACTTATGAATAGAACTGTTGAACTGTGTGGTAATTTTGTGTTTAATTTTATTAGGAATTGCCAAACTGCCAAGTTGTTTTGTTATTTTCCATTCATATCAGTGATATATGAGAATACAGATTGTTGCACATTCTTTCTAACATTTCCTATTGTTGTTGTTGGTAGGTGCTATCGAGTTGAACATGACTCATAGTGACCCTATGAACAAAAGATTTGAACCCTGTTATGTTCTGCAGCATCCTCACACTTCCTTACAAACATGAGCCTATTGCAGCTGTCATCATATCAATCCACCTGATTGAGGGTCTTCCTCTCCTTCGCAGACCCTCTACTCCTCCCACCATCATGTCCTTCTCCAAGGAATAGCTCCTGATAGCAACATGTCCAAAGTATGTGAGGCAAAGCCTTATCATTCTTGCCTCCAAAGAGCACTCCAGCTCCACCCTTTCCAAGACATATCTGTTTGTTCTCTTGGCTGTCTATGGAATGTTAAGTGCTCTTCTCCAACACCACAGTTCAAAGACATCAATTCTTTTTCTGTCATCCTTATTCACTGTCCAGCTCTTGGATGTATAGCTAGTAATCAGAAAGACTACAGCCTGAATCAGACACAACTTCAAACTGTCTTCAAACTGACATCTCTACTCCTCAATAGTTTAGAAAGATCACTAACTGCAGATTTTCCTTTATTTTATGACTGCTGGTACCAAGGGTGTTAACTGTGGATCCAAGAAAGATGAAGCTCTTGACACTTTCCATTTCCTTTGCCATCATCATAAGGCTCCCTACTGGTCCAGTGGTGAGAATCTTTGGGTCCTGACATTGAGATGCAATCCATTCCGAAGGCTGGCATTCCTTGATCTTCTGCAACAAGTGCATCAGGCCCTCCTTACTTTCAGCAAGTAAGGTTGTGTTATCTGCATAATGAAGATTATTGATGAGTCTCCCTCCTATCCTGATGCTACATTCTTCTTCACAGAGTTCAGCTTTTCAGATAATTTGCTCAGCGTACAGATTAATTGAATAGGTATGAAGATAGAATACAACCCTGGCACACTCTCTTCCCAATTTCAAAACACGTAGTCTTATTCATTTTATTTGCACAATAGCCTCCTAGTCCAGGTATAGGTTATGCATGAGCACAATCAAGTGCTCTGGGGTTTCCATTCTTTTCAAGGTCAGCCACAACTTGTCCAGATCCATACACTGTGGTGGTGGTGGTAGTAGTAGTATTTGCCACTGAGTTGTTTCCAGCTAGCTACAACCTTACATAAAACAGACTGAAAAGTTGTCTGTTCCTCCACCAGCTTAATGATTCTTTGAACATGTGCCTGAAGGTATGTATCAATACCTCTCATTGAGCGTCCCATTCATTTTCACCAACTCTACCATGATTTTCTTCTCTAGTTATCAATCTTTTCTGAAAACATATCCAAAGTAAGCTAGTTGAGGTTTCACCATTTTCACTACTAAGGAACATTTTAGATGAATTTCTCCTAAGACTAATTTGTTCTTCATGAAATTCATTGTATGGTCAATTTTCTTTGCCAAAGCAACATTTTTTAATGCAGAAATTGTTGTTTTAACCTATATACTAGCCTTTTTTTTCCAGACCTAAGTATTGAGAGTATTTTCTACCAGTGTCTCATTTGCCTTTTCATTTTCTTAATGAAATACTTTAATGAGAAACAGTTGTTAATTTTGATGAAGTTCACTATATGAACTTTAATTTTATGGCTCAGAAGTGTCATGTGCCCTCTAATAAATCTCTCTGTACCTTGATGTTGTGAAGATTCTCTCATATTTTCTTGATTAATTTTTATCATTTACGTTTTCAGATTTGTCTCTCTTTGTTTAGTATCTACGAGGATATAGTTTCTTTCATAAATTTAAATAGAAACCTCAAGTATAAGGTGTTTGGATTTTTTAAATTCTCTTGTTTCCTACCTAAATCAAACATCCAATGCATTGTCTTCAAGCGGGAACCCAATTTATAGCTGAGCCTCCAGTGACTTTTCGGAGGCTGTAAGTCTCAAGAGAAGAATCAATGTGTCAGTTGATTGCCCATTTTTCTCTGTGCAGCCACTGGTGGATTCCAGTCTCCAGAGAGGAGTAGCCTGTGGAAAAGGAGCCGATTGCCCTATAGACCATGCTACTGTTCTGGATTGCCTTCGAGTCGAGCACGACTCATAGTGACCTTATGAACAAAAGGCCGGAAGCCCCTCTACAACTATCGACATTTATCTAAGTTCATAGAGTTTCCAGAGGCAAGTTGTTTAGGAAGTAGATGTCATGCCAGCTTCTAAACCAGAGCTATAAAATATTTACTAGCAGTAGCAATCATAAAGTGGTATGAGCTATGAATCTTCTAGAGATATTTAATCTCCTTAGAATGGATAGGGAGCTCTGCTGACCTAGTAGTAAAGAAATATACAATCATCCAAATGCATGTGGCATGAATTAACTGCTCTACAGGAGAAAGATGAGCAATGTATGAGTCAGTTATGACTCTATGGTGCTTCAAACAAATGGATACATTTCCCTTCCCTCTCCCCAATAGGTTCCACTTCCATTTGCTTCTGGGAGCTATGTTACTTTTGTGTTTATAGCCAGAACTTTGAATTTTTAGAATATCTTAAAGTTATTAAAATATAATGTTGTTTGGTAATGCAAATATTACTAAACTTAAATAATAAAACTGCCTTTAAGTGAGATTAACAATACACTGAGATAAGTTCCATAAAAGAGGTTTATATAGACACATTAATCAATTAGTTAATATTTTAAAATCAAGTATGTACCTGAATTTATTTTCAAAATTATATACAAGGTAATGAATTCTGCAAATAATTTTTTCAACTCTTAATTTTTTTAATTTTAAAAATCCATTATATGTTTGCTCATTGTTGTCTGATAGTAAACAAATTCTTTCAATCTGGCTTTGAGTTTATTTACAAAAGATTAATGTATTTCTTATATTAGCATTAAATATTTCAATTTGATAGGGTTTGGGGTTTTTTTTAATTCTAAAAATATGCCTAATAAATGATCCTCAAGATGTTAACTTTTTCCAGGGTAAAGCACACAATCATTTAGAACTTGGCTTAATGACAGAGTTTTATATAAATATTATCTCCACATATATACTCATTATATAATTAGTTATATTGATATAAACTAATCTCATTCTAATCTAAACTTAGCTTGAAATAGAAATTTAAATATTGGTGATAAATTATATACACTTTTTATAAAAGTAGAAGTGAGATGCAGATTTCAGTTCCTGAATCTTCAATCTAATATCGTTCTAGTTTTATGCCTCTGGTTTCTTATAGTCCTATTAAAAAACTAAACATAAAAAAATTATTTTTCCTCATAGAATCAAATTTGTTAGAATAAATTGCCTATGCAGGTAATTCTATTATCTCTACAACTTTCTATTATTTTCTCTGCCATTCTTAACATTTCCAGAAATATCAGTCCTGTAGTATTATTCTAATAGTTAACAAAGAAGAAATCTACTTACAGCCAATCAACATGACACAAATTGAAAAGATTTTCTCCGAATTGGTGTTAGGAGACACATTTCCAAATCCTACACTGGTTAAACTGCTGAAAGTGAAATAAAGTGCTGTGACATATTTGTCTTTTATGGATGGTCCAGAACTCGAGTCACTGTCATTGTAACGTTTCCCGATTTGTTGTCCTAAGGAATCTAGCCATCCAATCTTGTCCGTCAGATATGGCCTTTCAACATTCCCTATCGCATACCAGATGCAAGCCAACCAGTGAGCAATCAGGGCAAATATGCACATTAAGAGCATTAGCACAGCAGCACCGTATTCTGAGTATCGATCAAGTTTCCTGGCCACTCTCACAAGACGTAGGAGTCGAGCTGTCTTCAAAAGACCAATTAATGTTGTTGTCTGTGGAAACAAATGGGCATGATTAGAAAAAAGTTGATAAACAATTCATAGTCTGTTCCTATGGAGTAAAGTTGGTAGAAATAGGTCAAAATCATACAGGAATGCTGAGGATGATTGTAGAATTTTAATTTAGTCGTAAGCTTATTTTTTAAGATCTAACTATTCTCTAGGAAAAAATGCTTTGATCATCTTGATCTATAATATCTGTGTTATGCTTTGTTGAGTAGGAACAGAATCATAGCTGACCCTTCATGGATTTTCAGGGCAATAAATAGGGGAGAGGAGAATGGTCATCTTCCACCCTGGAAGAGCCGATGGACTTTGAATTGTCATTCTTCTTCTTGTTTGCCCTCAGGCTGGAACTGGTCCATAGCTGACCCGCCAGTGGATTTTCAGAGGCTGTGAAATGCACAGAAGGAAACTACCTTTCTCCCATGGAGCTGCTAGTGGATTTGCACCATCTGCCTTTGAGTTGGTTGAAACTTTTTACTCACTGGGCCACCTGAGAGGATTATTTAACAGAGATAAGAATCTATTTCTTCTAATGAAGGGAAGAAAGAGTCTTTTGTTGTGAGTGAGACTTAATTTTTAAGTAAATAGTAAGATAATTTTAGATAGTGAAAATGGAAATAGGACAGATCACATGATAATATTTGACATGTAATACCATGGACTGCTAGGAAAACAAACAGATTTGTCCTGGAAAGGGTTAAAACGGGTGGCTCCTTGGAGGCAAAGATTCTGAGGCTCCGTCTAACATATTTTGGACATGTTGTGAGGAGAGACCAGTCCTTAGAGAGGGACATCATGCTTGGGAGGGTGGAGGGACGGCGCAGGAGAGGAAGGCCCTCTATGAGGCGGATTGATTCAGTGACTGGGATAACTGGATGGGAGTGTCGGAGACAGTGCGACTGGCATAGGACAGAGCGGAGTTTAGGGCTGTTGTACATAGGGTCGCTATGAGTCGCAAGCGACTCGACGGCACATAACAACAACAACAAGAAATTGGAGTTAGGAATCACTTTAAAATGTAAGTTCAAGGCCATTGGCGAGGCACAGATGTTTGAGCTGAGAGAGGCGTGTATAAAGATAAGGAGTTAGTCAAACAGATTAGCTAGAAAAACACTGATTCCATGATTATATGCATGAATTAGACACTATATTTAAAAGTCTTCTTTTTTTCCATTGTTAATTTGTTAAATTGATAAACAGTTTCTGGATATCTCAATGCTACTATAATTGTATTTTAGCTTTTGGTTGTGACATGTCTAACTAATTGCAAGATTATTACTGACCAGGTATCTAATGATAGTACAGTTCCACATAATAGCAGGATACTTAGATAGTTGTTTGGACCTGAAATCTGATAAGTACAAATTATAAGTTAATTTTTTTAGGTTTTCTAAATAATGTCAACTATAAGTACTATATAATTCACAGCGCATATAATTATTCCATAGTTACATGGTGTTTACCAATCAATTATTGAGTCATTTCATCTGTTCATTGTTGGTGTTTATTTCACAAAGTACATCCAAATACTTTAAGAACAGTTAGATATAACTATTATCCATATTGATAAATATGGACTTGGTGGAAAAGAGCACTAAGTACACCAAGTAGCAGACAAACGTTTTCTCAAAAGTGCTGTACTATGTTAGACTATGCTTATTTTATCTTGTTCCACACTAGCTACAGAGAGAGGGGGCAAGAATCTTTAATCTTCTTTAATTTCTTTTTAGTAGTGTTGAAAATTCTGGTGGTGAGAGGGGCTTTGATGATTGAGCTACACTTATCAGAACCGTTAAAGAGCAAGCATGTCAGTTTAAAGACTAAGGTACACCTGATCTGAGCCAAGTATTTTTAATTACTTTGTAAGCATGGGAAAGCTGGAGAATATAAAGGGAGACTGAATAAGAATAGATGTCTTTGAATTGTGGTGTTGGGAGAGAGTACTGAATTCACTGCCAAAAGAATAAACAAATCTGTCTTGGATGATGTGTATGGATGGTGAAAGGTTGAGTATGCTGTTGTCAAAGGGAGTCATTTCTTAGAACAAGACATCATGATGGGATAGGTAGAGGGACACTGAAAGAGAAGAAGATCCTCAACAAGATGGATTGATACAGTGACTGCAACAATGAGCTTGAGGTTGGTAGAGATGGTGACAGTGGTGTAAGAGAGGGTACGATTCCAATCTGTGCTATACAAGCTTGCTGTGGGTTGTAGCCAGCTCGATGGCAATTACGGACAACGTCATAAATGGACTCTAGTGTTGCTCATTTTGGAACACACAGAGAGGTGAGACTTCTATTTCTGAAACTGCTATTTTCATGATAATGAAGTAGATGTCCCACCCCCACCCCCAACTCACAAATTTAAAGGAATAGAACTTCTAAGTGAATGAAAGGAAGATTTGAGTAGGTACTGGGTGGTTACCTAAGAGAAAAGTCAACTTTCCACCATTTTAATAATAGATAATTTTTGCTTAGTTCAGATACTGAGACTTTGGAAAAAACAAACTTATTTGAATTCTGCTTCCATACTGCTGTGTGACTTTGAGTATTTTATTTTTTAAGTCTCTAAACTTCAATTTCATCACCTGTAAAATGAGAATAACAATACTTATCTTACCTGATTCTGTACAATAATCAACTTTCATGTTTTTATTTGACCATTTCATATCTTTTTGTTTACATTGATAAACAAGGAGCAGTAAGCTTTGACATGGGTTAATAGGGTTCTAAGAATTTCCAGATAATACTCTTAGGAATTCCAAATGTAAGACTTTTAACACTAGCCTAATAGTTCAATCACAAAATGACAGGCATTTTGAAAAATAAGAACTTAATCTAGCAATACATTGATTGCTCAGACTCTGATAATTAGAATAATCCTTATTCAATATTTTGCTGCCTCTCACAGAGGTTAGATGGCTTACTTGTAAAAAGTTGTGCTGCCAACTGAAAGGCATATGATTTGAATTCACTTGCTTCTCCAAGAGAAAATTATGGCAATCTCCTATGCAAGTTACTATCTCTGAAAACCTGCTTCAGGGTCAGTTATGAGTTAGTTCCCACTGGATAGTGCATAACACATGCCTCCTAGCTCAAGTCTGTGTGTTTATTTTCCCACCAATTGACATATTTCAACAGACAGAATCTGCCCTGGAATGCTCACCTGGTTGTGCCAAAAAATCTTGAGGACAACTACCTGACGAGAGATCCATCTTTATTCCCATTCCAAAAAATGGTGATTCGACAGAGTGTGGAAATTATTCTAACAATATCATACACAAGCAAAATCCTGCTGAAGATCATTCAAAATGACTGGAACAATACATGGACAGAGAGCTACCAGAAATATAAGCTGGGTTTAGAAGAGGTCGTGGCACTAGAGACATTACCACCAATGTCGGATAGATCTTGGCAGAAAGCAAAGAATACCAGAGTAATGTTTCTCTGTGTTTCATTGACTATGCAAAGGTATTTGATGGTGTGCATAACAACAAATTGTGGCTAACCTTGAGGAAAATGAGAATCCCAGAGCACTTGATTGTGTTTATGAGAAACTTATACTTGGACCAGGAAGCAGTTCTCAGGACAGAGCAAGGAAACACTGCATGGTTCAAAATCAGGAAAGGAGAGCCTCAGGGATGCATCCTGTCTCCAGACATTTTCAATTTATATGCAGAATAGATAATTTGGGAGACTGGGCTTTATGAGGAAGAATGCGGCATCAGGATTGGAGGAAGACTCATCAATAACCACATAATGCAGATGACACAATCCTGCTTGCTGAAACTGCGGAGGACCTGAAGCACTTGCTCCAGGTCAAGGACTATAGTGTTCAATATGGATTGAAGTTCAACATTAAGAAGACAATGATTCTCACCACTGGGCCAATTGGCAACATCATGATAGATGGAGAAGAGACTGAGGTTGTTAAAAATTACAGCTTGCTTGGTTCCACAATCAGCACTTTTGGCACTAGCAGTCAAGAGGAAATCAAAAGATGAATTGCACTGGGAAAATCTGCTGCCAGGGACCTCTCCAGAGCACTTAAAAGGAACAATGTGCATCTAGAGACTAAGGTGCTCCTAATCCAGGCCATGGTCTCCACAATCACTTACTATGCATCAGACAGTTGGACAATGACGAAAGATGACCGAAGAATTGATGCCTTTGAGTTGTGGTGCTGGAGAAGAGTATTCAACCACAAAGGAAATAAATAGGTCTGTCTTGGAGAGGGTGAAATCAAGTTTCTTCTTGGAGGCTAGGAATTGAAGCTCTGTCTCACATACTTTGGGTGTGTGGCCAGGAGGGACCAGTCCTTGGAGGATATCATGCTCAAAAGGGTGAGGGACAGAGTAGAAGAGGAAGACCCCAGATGAGATGGATTGATCAGTAACTGGAGCAATGAGGGTAGATGTGTAGGAGTCAGTGAGATTGGCCCAGGACAGGGCAGGCGTCAGAGCTCTTGTACATAGAGTCACTGTGAGTTGTAGGTGACTCAATGGCACATAACAACTACAATAACAATAACTACTCTACTACTTGTTTTATGATGAATTTTGGAAATATTTGAAAAGTATCCTTTAAAACATCTCTACCTTTTGAACAAAATTTCTTTCAGAACCCTAATAGATGAAATAAAATTAAAATTCTTTTTTAGCAAAGCAAAACGCTTGAAAGCAAATAATCTGTTTTCATTGGATCTTGATAAATACAGACCAATTTTCAGTCTGCAAAGATGGCAAATAAAAAAAGATTTAATGTTGAAAACAGACATCAAATCAGTGTGTTTCCCTTCTCCTTTCTGCTCTCTCTCTGTGAATAATGCTCTGAAGTTTATTCTAGCATATATAAGCATGAAGATGAAACAAAAATGTATTCAGTTTGCTGAACTGAGATTACATATATATTTGGGAGAAAGATGGCAGTCTCCTCCTGTGCAATTTATAGCCATGGAAAACCTGCTGGAAAGTCAGCTGTAAGTTG